TAAATTAAAATGGAAAAAACATGAAAAAAAACGGTCAACATTTCGTATGCTGCACTTTTAAATAAGACCCACTTTCGCATTATTTTTTAACATTGATTCAACATCACCCCCCCCCCCTCAAACCCGCCTCATGTCATGAAACACCCGGGTGTAATTTTCTAGCTGTACCATAATTGCGTGTTCATTCCTGTGAGCTTTTATTTCAAGAAACTGAAAACATTCATGGTCATATCGTCTTTGATGATCTACTTCCAAGCTGTGCTTTCAAAGGGTCTTATCGACGCGGGTGATACGCTGGGCGTTAATGATCAGGTTCGGTGATTAGATAAAGATACAACAAACCAAAAATGTTCAATACATGGATTGTTTAATCTTGGAACTCGATTGAAGACACGCATTTTATCACTGATCTTTTTACCAGGCAGATCATTCAGTGTTGGAAACAACGCCAAACAGCGGCTCACGGCTGATTATAGTTATTTATTTATTTATTTAGGCATTTTTATATAGTGCTTACCATAAAGCTATAAGCGCTTTACAATTATTAAAAACATGTAAACTAAGTTAAATAAAAATGAGACACTAGGATAGTAACTACTATACTATAGAAACAATGAAAATGGCTATAAAACGAGGACACTTTGGCACATTTTGATATTTAAATTTGTGTTTTATTCTAAAACATATTTTTATAAAGTTTTTTTTTCTAAAAATGACAAAGCTAATAAATTACTGTACTGTACATGTGTACTGAAAAGTGATGATATCTGGTAGTCAAAATATAAGTTTCAATAGAGCTTAACATAATCCATGTTATTATAGCCTATAAGTATATGTAGTGTAAATTCTAACGAAAGTATAAATAGTTTAGCTTAAAAACGAACGCGCAGAGAAAATGTTTATTTAAGACTCCAACTAAGACATCACATCCCCCCCCCCCGATTCGTTTTACGACATAAGGCCTTAAAGACTACACCGTGAGCTGTGTGAGCCACATTGTAGATAACATACACGACCGTGAGCTGTGTGAGCCACATTGTAGATAACATGCACGACCGTGAGCTGTGTGAGCCACATTGTAGATAACATGCACGACCGTGAGCTGTGTGAGCCACATTGTAGATAACATGCACGACCGTGAGCTGTGTGAGCCACATTGTAGATAACATGCACGACCGTGAGCTGTGTGAGCCACATTGTAGATAACATGCACGACCGTGAGCTGTGTGAGCCAAATTGTAGATAACATGCACGACCGTGAGCTGTGTGAGCCACATTGTAGATAACATGCACGACCGTGAGCTGTGTGGGCCACATTGTAGATAACATGCACGACCGTGAGCTGTGTGAGCCACATTGTAGATAACATGCACGACCGTGAGCTGTGTGGGCCACATTGTAGATAACAGGCACGAACTGTTGATGATAAAACTTGGTTGTTGTTTTTTTAAAATGTTATGTTACGCAGCTTGAACTCAAAAGTTACAATATGGGATGACTGCCTTTCACATGTGACTAACATATCGTGTCATGGACACCGACCGAGAGAACTTAAAGCCAAGAAGAACTTGTGTCATGTATCGGTTATAAAAAACACGGATTTCCTTCAACTATGGCACATATTGCATGCACGCATGCTGTTCGCCAAGTTTTGTCGTGACGACTCAGATTCACGAAGGATTGTCTTTTGAACTTTGCAACTCTCTCTCTCTCTCTCTCTCTCTCTCTCTCTCTCTCTCTCTCTCTCTCTCTCTCTCTCTCCTGTCTCTCTCCTGTCTCTCTCCTGTCTCTCTCTCTCTCTCTCTCTCTCTCTCTCACTCTGCGCCAAATCTTTGATACCAGGACCAGTAGCAGGGCGGACATAAACCTGATCGGAAGATATAAAAAATTTCATAAACACAACTAGAAGTGGTCGCGTAAACATAGCTTGGGCTTGCACTTCATGTTTCAACATTCAGCTATTGCATTACTTTTTTCGGCTCCCGTGTGTTCAACCGTTAAAGGGGCTATTGATTCGAAGGATTCCTGAAAAATTGCCTGCCATGGAAATGACGTTTTGTGGGGCTGGAGGGAAACAAAGATCACGAGGGAAACTTTGCCACGACTCACCCCAACGCCGTTAACTTGTAGGTGTGTCCTTATGACCTTCACCATTAAGATGTGGCTTTGTAAGGACACAGTAAGGGATGGCATATTAATTTATTTGATATGTTTTTGGAAACAAATTGGTTCTTAAACTACAAGTCAAAGGACCCTTTAAACAAAAAAAAAACAAAAAACAAAAACAAACAACAAAAATTTTTTAAAAATTTGACTATTTCGACAGATAATAATGAGGATAATGCAGAAAATTAGAATTGATGCAAAACTTCTAGTTATTGATGTGTGTGTGCTAAGTATTAATTTTAAATGAAAAACAGTATCATTGTGCCACAAAAAAAAAACCGCCTTCAGTTAACCAGCGTCAATACAGTTGACAGCTAGACTGTTATGAATAAAGCAAAAGCTTATTTCAAAACTCTGGCATCTTCATGAACCAAGACAGAATTATAATTCTCTTTTTTTATATATGGATGGTTAAAGTAACTTTGCGAATTGTTATTTTAACTCCACCACCCCCACCCCTCCCTTTTAAAAAAATAAAAAATTAAACATTGAATCTTGGCCCAATTTATTATGTCACGGTGTGCTGCAGTGTTCGTTTTATACATACTTTTGAATTTAATTATAAGCATGAATTCCTTTTTTTTTTTTAAATATTAAAAAATTAATAAATTCAAACAAACATATTCCTAAGTGCATCAGACGTTGCTAAATATGATTGAGACAGGAGTGCACATGAAAAACGGGTTTCTGGATTACGTTCACGTGTGGAAACTCATTCAAGATAGAGACCATGGGCGCCCGCAGAAAACTTTCTAGGGGGGGGGGCAAAAAAATTGATTAACTTTCCAGGGGGGGGGGATTTTTTAGTAACTTTTAATATAGTTATAATTTACTGTAGCGTATTTGTATGGTGAACGAACGGACAGGATATCAACAAGTGCCCCACCTTGCCCCTACCTTCGGGCGCCCATGATAGAGAGAGTTATGCTGATCGCAATTCAGACATCCAGGGGGGGGGGATTTTTTAGTAACTTTTAATATAGTTATAATTTACTGTAGCGTATTTGTATGGTGAACGAACGGACAGGATATCAGCAAGTGCCCCACCTTGCCCCTACCTTCGGGCGCCCATGATAGAGAGAGT